GTTCTGAAGAATTGTGAAATGTAAATACTCTTCACTCGACCTGAACTAATCAGTTTCTTATTTTCGTTATGAGTTTGAGTTCTTAATAAAACATCAGCTCTTATTAAATATTCAGTGTATCCAGTATATATTCTGCTGATTACTATGATTTCCTGATGTCAGCTCATCCATAACATAATCATCATGAGTCAAATCCAGAGCAGCTTCTCCTGCAGTGTTGTTAACAGTGTGTATGTTTATCTTCCATATGCATGATGAGAATCTATGTATTGGGGGGGGGGGGGTTCCTCCACATCATTATTTCTGCCACTATAATGGGCCTCTGTGGCGATTCTCGCTGCTGAGGTCAAAGCCATGGCCCAGAATGCAATAGTGTATATGAGGTCAGTGAGGTCCAGACATCTTAGGTTGGCCTTAACAGAGGCAGTCAACCAGAAGGGCCCCTTTATGCCACATCGAGCGTGGAGCTGTTGACGATTTTCTTTTCTGGGCTCTCATGCGACCTCTGCTCTCCGTCTGCTGCGGCTCTACTCCACCCTCGGTCTTACTCAAAAAAGCTACGTTCACACCCATCAGATGAGATTTTAAACCTGCGTTCTCTCTGGCAGCTCATGGCGGAGAGGTCGTGGTTGGGGTCCCTGCCTGAAAACAGACCTCCAGGCTCCCGTTGTCACTTTATCAGAAATGGCCCTTAATCTGCGTTTTATACCTGCTCAGAAAGTCCAAAAAGAACACTCTGGATTACGACCATTGAAACTGACACATACTTCTCCTGCTTAATCCCTATTAGCCCTCACCTCACCGCACTCGCAGCCCGATTCATGCAGCGGACAAAGCGAAAGCATTCTGGGAGCTGTTTGGGTTTATTGCAACAGCTTCTGCAGCCGTGCACAAAAGCCTGTTAACAAAAACAAGCTTGTTGTGTGTGTTTTATTTAGTTTTGTGAGTTTGATGTTTGTCTTTCAGGCCTGGAAAGAAAAACACATTTAGCTCTTGGCCGGAATAAACTATTAATGCCTGTTTGTTTAACCCTTGGACGGCAAATTAACCCCTGTTAGAGCCAGCTTGTCAGTTCAGCACAAAGGAGGAAGAAAAGCGCGATATTTTAGCCACATTCTGGCCTAATGCCACATATCCACACCCCTGTGAGAGAAAACCAAACCTATTCCCTTCAGAAGTGATCAAATGAAACGTTGCAGCACATTTAATTGTTCGACATTGATTTTGTCCTCAGGAAAAGTGAGTTTAAAGAGTTTCTATCGGGGAAAAAAACACTAGTTTAAGCTGCAACAATCATTGTA